TTAAATGCATTAAAATCAAGTTTAATTCAAAGTAAAAATTTAAAATAAATTTAAATGAAAGAAAGTGAAATTTAAGTCGAAATACAAATCAAACCGAACGTTTTAACGTATAATGCACGCATAATCTAACGCATAAAACAGATATTATCGATATTGATGCCTGTATTGCACGTGTGTAGTCAGCAAGTCATACTTAGCGCTAAGCGTTAGCAAATTCTACCTATTTTACATTATGTTTCTAAAGAAAAGATTAGTACTATCGAAGAAAGAGCTTTCTCTCAAATATTGCGATTTGTTTCTTATGGTGTTGCTCTATCATGATTTAATATATTTTTACCGTAACTTTTTACCGTATTATACTTCTCTGGCGCGAATAGACAAGTATCTTTAAACGTTTAAAGGTTTCTTTCCTCATAGAAGTCTGACTCTCTTGACCTTTTCGCTTTGTTGCATGAGCGGCTGAAGAATTGCCGCATATCTTTATTTCGCAGCACTCCGACGCATCCATCGATTTGCTTGTTATTCCGTTTAGAGTTTCATGGTTGCGCTTGATTTGCTCTTTATTATTTCACTCTAAAAACCACACGTGTAACGTTCGCATTGCATAAGAACGAGAGAGTTTTTCCAGTATTGGTACAAACGCCAAACTCGGCTGAAACGACGCAGAGGCACGGTGCGCGAACTTTCGTTCGACTTTCGTAATGTCTTTCGCACTATTGTTCGGCAAAGCCACCCTTTTTGCCATTATCGCAAGCCTTACGTAACGATCAAACAATATACTCTCAGTTTTCGTTGGCAGCAAACATTATTCACAGATTATCCAGTTGGCGTCAAATTGTTAATTATATTTAAAAAATATTTCGCGTCTTGTCTCCTTTGTGTTCTTTCACAAATATTCTTCTTTAAAAGATTAAGATAGATTTCCTCTTAAATATCTGAATGCAATTTTACATTCCTCCAATATCAAATAATGAGAGATATGTGTGTTCTTTTTGAAAGAAAAATTGTCTCACTCATTCTTTAATATTTTTTTCTACGTTTAAATTAATTTCACGATAATTGGTTGTGTGTATGTGTTGTATTTTACTGTGAATTGTATAAAAAATTTAATAACAACAATATCACTGATATTGAGCAATCGTAACGCAACGTTATGTCAGAATCGATGAAGCGAATCGAAGAAAAGTCCTACACGCGGTTCGAGCATTGTGCGCGAGACTGATATCCACAAACGAAAGGCAATTTCTCGCATTCAGTTCATCGTGTGCTATCGCCGGTTTCATAACGGACGTGGATACAGCGCACATTTTTACAAGTCTCTCTTATGTAACGACATAGTAAAAGGGACTTTTCTACCGACTCGGCTTTGCGGTTTCGCGGGGAAACATTTTGCGCGCACAGAGCTATCATTATATGCGCCACGAGTATCTCATACTCGAGGAAGACATATCTTACAATAACTTATATAATATGCATATGAAAACATGTATTACGTGTATGTGTGTGTGTATCGGCGCATTAAATCACGATCAATCAACCAGATCAATTTAGAATGTTGCTCGCTCACGAAAGTTTCTCACTCTTTGCGCAAACGATTACTTTGTTAACTGCCCTCCATTAATTTTAATATGATTTACATGTTGTGCCGCGTGATTTATAGAATAGATCAATATCCAATCTGTATGCGCAGTTTAATCCAATCTTATTCAATGTTAATCTCCTCGGGTTTTTCTTGAATCGCCGGATTTGCTCATCCGCGGTGGACGCTTTAATAGGCGCGGAGAATTCATTAAATCGCAACCTTTAAACGCAGTTTAACAAACCCATATCCAGTAATTGCGGGAACGTATCAGTGCCGCTTAACTAACGTAATTAGATAATGAATGCTCGTGGGCGTGCATCGCAGCACGGAAGTGATTGAAAATAAAGTTCGAGATAATATCTCGTTGTATGTGCCCGTTGGGGCAACCACATGTAGTATGTGTTTGTGTTTAAGCATAGTTCCCGTACACGGGTCGCGTGAGAAAATCGGGTCAACTCTCACGGGCGCCATTCGGATATTTATTATTACCTAACGTTTAGATTGCCGCTTGTACTTTTGTCTTCCGGCGAAATGAAACGATTAAGGATACATTTTCCTAAATATTAGTATAATTCAACGAAAAATAACGCAATTGAACTATATTGCAGATTAATAGTTCTCATTATTCCGAGGATGGATAATTCAGCAAGGGTTATTCGTTGATTTGCGTTATTCTCAAGTAAGCTGTGTTCTGTAAAGAGAGAAGAGAGAACTTGCATTAATTTTTAATTAATTAATTAATTTTTTAAGCAGTGCAAACAGAGCCCGCTATTCTACTTTAAATTGTTTCAGAATCCCATATACTGAGAGGAAAAGTTTTTTAAAATTAGTAAATATTTACTTATGTGGTATGGAAGTACTTAATGGCGCGCATATTTACTTAAATCCTAATTCTTTTATTTAAATAGAATAAATAATTGCTGTTACGAAAAATTACGATTTTCTTAAGAGGTTGTAAGAAAACGTATATTTTTCTATTTAAACAGTATTTTATATTAATATAAGTAAATACGCTACTTATATAACCTAACTCTATCAAATAAATATTTACTATTTCTTATATATTTTGCTTAGCTATCTGCGTCCAAGTACAACAAATTTTACGTTTGAAATGTGTCTTAAATTTCTTTTTGTATCTCAACAATCTCTCTCTCTCTCTCTCTCTCTCTCTCTCTCTCTCTCTCTCTCTCTCTCTCT